AAAAAGCAAAATATAAAAAATATTAAAATGAGATGCACGCTGCAAAAATACAAGCATATGAAGAAGATAATAATGTCTTCCCACACTCAAATTAAAAGACGAAAGTACTACGATGAAAGTGTTGCATGATTTTGCAATATGATTAATGTCTTTACTGTTACATTATTCTTTCATTTAAAAGACAAAAAGCTAGCTGGTAGCCTCAGTATCGTGAGAATCCAGTTTACTAGGCTTTTAGCATTACGAAGCACAATTTCAAATACTTTGGTCCTAGTGTGAACTACTCTCCCCTTGCAGTTAACTAGACTAAGCTTCTTTTAAAGTGAGGTTTATAAGCCCATTTAAGTAGTAATAACATGTTGCCTTCCTTCAACAAGACTTTGATCCTGATGGAAGCACCAGTACATCTCCAAAGGAAGTAATCCAGGCTCTACTTACCTCACAGTGTACAAAACAGGCCTGGGCTTTTAATGACTAACATCAGGATAGGGTGAGGGAAGATCCGACCACCCTGAGCGTGCCCCAATTGTCCTAAACATGCACGAAGAGAGTCAGGGTTGGGACTCTGGACCTCCTACACCTGTGAAGCAGAGATGGCGGATTATTTGCTTCTTGTCTCTAACACCCACCACTAAAACTTCAAGGCCCCTAGGCAAGAAAAAATATACTCTCCATTGTTTTCCTTGTTATCAAGCTTAGCTAAGTTCAAAACTATGTTTATGTGCCATTCCTGCAGAGGAATTGAGACTTGTTTTGTTGCTGGGGGAATTCCTTACATGCAAAGGTGTCTGTCTGTGTGATAACTCAGAGGACAGACCCTTACATACAGCTCCAAATTATTAATGTATTCTTTGTTTCAGCTCCAGCAAATGGAGAGAGAAGACAATGAAAGGTTTCTGCTAGAGAATACTAGAAATTAAAAATGTCCCTAGAAGAAAGGAAAATCTCTGTGTTTTGAAGAGAGGTGAGAGGAAGTCACACTTACATCTTAAAAACAGACAAAAGAAGCTGGTAAACATAGGCAGTGGAAAAGCAGAGGCATCTTACAAAACAGGGGGCAGGGAGCCTTGAGGGGGCTTCCCTCTAAACCGCCACAACACGTGAGAGTCCCCACCCTTCTAGAAAGCTTTCTCGCCCATGATTTCTGACATAGGTTTGTGATAATTTCAGAACTTGGCATTAGATACAGCATGTCACTAATGTGAAGAGAAAAAGCAAAATATAAAAAATATTAAAATGAGATGCACGCTGCAAAAATACAAGCATATGAAGAAGATAATAATGTCTTCCCACACTCAAATTAAAAGACGAAAGCACTACGATGAAAGTGTTGCATGATTTTGCAATATGATTAATGTCTTTACTGTTACATTATTCTTTCATTTAAAAGACAAAAAGCTATCTGGTAGCCTCAATATCATGAGAATCCAGTTTACTAGGCTTTTAGCATTACGAAGCACAATTTCAAATACTTTGGTCCTAGTGTGAACTACTTTCCCCTTGCAGTTAACTAGACTAAGCTTCTTTTAAAGTGAGGTTTATAAGCCCATTTAAGTAGTAATAACATGTTGCCTTCCTTCAACAAGACTTTGATCCTGATGGAAGCACCAGTACATCTCCAAAGGAAGTAATCCAGGCTCTACTTACCTCACAGTGTACAAAACAGGCCTGGGCTTTTAATGACTAACATCAGGATAGGGTGAGGGAAGATCCGACCACCCTGAGCGTGCCCCAATTGTCCTAAACATGCACGAAGAGAGTCAGGGTTGGGACTCTGGACCTCCTACACCTGTGAAGCAGAGATGGCGGCAGAATGGATGGCAGAATGGCCTCATTTTCTCTCCTTACCCTCCTCTACTCACATTTCTACAGTTAAACAGGCTGTCTGTCTCTTTACAGGGTATGCCACTCTTTTATGTATCCTTTTTACAGTCCTGTTATACGCTTTGAGGTATTTTCCATTTGGGACTAAAGGAAAAATGAGCTGGCATGTTAAGTATTAGTCTAGGATGCGCATGTTAGATGTTTAGGGTTGGGGAGAGTAGAATCAGAGGGGATGTCCTGTGGATTCTAGTTACATACTTCATGTTTCCTTGGTTACTTCTTTTTCGCCATCACTCCTGGACACTGTCACTCCCATTACCTCAGATACGTTTTCCAACGTGAATTTCAATAGCACAAATTCTAAGGATATTTATTCACAGAACAAGGGTTTCCAGGATGAACAACGTTCTGGAACTGTTGCCTACTAAATGCCCATGGAAGTTTACAACATGTATCCATGTACTAAAGGTGTTGCATGTGAGGGACATGAAAAGGAAGCCTGTTTATCATTACTTCATAGTTAGATCAACAAGCATTTGCTCCCAAGAAGCCTTCTTTGCTTGGGCACTCACTCTACTCTGGTCCAAGCGTTCATCCTCCACATCAGTTCTGCTGTCCTAGGTGCAGAATCTCCTACGGGGCGGTTGCCCTTTGATTTTCTCCTCACCTTCTGCAGCTCGCATATGTAGAGGATAATCCATACTATCTGGGCAACAGTCACAAATCTAGGTTTTACGGTATAGACCTGTGCTGTCCAATACTGTAGCCATAGCCACATGTAGGTACTTTTATTTTATTTACATTAAAACTATTTAATTTTAAATAAAACTAAAATTCAGTTCTTCAGTTGCACCAGCCACATTTCAAATACTCAAATCAACATGTGGCTTGTGGTTACCATACTAGTCAGAGCAGTATAGAACATTTCCATCATCACAGAAATTTCTATTGAATAATGCCACTGTAAACCTTGTCAGCCACAGAAGGGATCCTCTAAGGCTTCTTCTCATCTCATCTCCTACCTTCCCCATGAGACTGTGAGACCCCCTAAAAGCGAAGATGGGGTTTTGTCACCTCTGAATCTGGCTTCTTGTCCAGGACCCTGCTGGGAGAGCCGCTCACAAAATATTTGCTGGGATAATGTGGATATTTCCTTCTCTTTGCTCCTGTAGTGTGTACCAACCTCTGTCACACTTTAGCATACTTCCCCCCCAAAAAAAACTTTTATTGGTTTTTATCGATTTAAAAAATAATACAAAATAACTGAAAAAAGATCAAAACAATCAAAAGGTCATACCCCTGCTTATAGACAACCACTCAACATTTTGGTATTTCCGTTCATTTATTTAACAAACAGATATTTTTGTTGTTTATTGAAGTATATTTTGCAGACAGTAAAATTCACCATTTTTTATGATGTATGATAAGTGCAATCACCACTACAATAAAAATTCAGGGTATTTTCAACACCTCCAAAAAATCCACTTCTGCTCCTTTGTAGTTAAACCACTTTCCCCACCCCTTCTCTGGCAATCGCTGACCTGAGTTCTGTTCCTATGGTTTTAACTTCTCCAGAAGGTCATATATATGGAATTATAGAGTAAGTAGCTTTTTTTAGTTTGGCCTCTTTCATTTAGTACAGTGCATTTGAGATTCATCCATGTTGTTCCTTTTTATTGCTGAGTTGTATTTTATTATATGGATATACCACAATCTGTTTATCCATTCTATAGTTGATGTTTGGGTTGTTTCTAACTTTGGCGATTATGAATAGAGCTGTTCTAAGCATTTGTACACAGGTTTTTGTGTGTACATTTGTTTTCATTTCTCTTGAAAAATTCCTAGTAATCAGATTTTTAGTCATATAGTAAGTGTATGTTGAATTCTGTAAGAAACTGCCAAACTGACTTCCAAAGTGCTTATTTATTTTTTTGCATTCCCACCAGCAATTTCCAATTGCTCTCATCCTCACCAGCATTTCGTATTTTCCTTTTTTTTTTTTTTTTTTTTTTTGTTGATGCATTCTAGTACACATGTGGTGGTATTTCTTTGTGGCTTTAATTTGCATTCCCTGGTGATTAGTGATGTTGAGCATCTGTTTTTGTGCTCATTTGTTGTCAATATCCCTACTTTGTGAAGTTTCGTTTCAATCTTTTGGCCATTTTTTAATTGGGTGTCTTCTCTTTTATCATTGAGTTGTAAGAACTCTTTATATATTCTAAATACTGTTACTTCATCAGAAATGTATTCTACAAATATTTTCTCCCAGTTTGTAGCTCGTCTTCATTTTCTTGTCAGTGTTTTTTGAAGAACAGAAGTTTTTAATTGCGTTGAAGAACAAAGAGATATTTCTGAGTATCTGGCAT